GTTGACTTTTGAGGCTCCCTCTCTATATAGAGGAGTTCCATCCAAAAGGCAATCATGTAGTTTTTTAAACATAAAAAAATATTACAAATATGGTTGACAAAAATGACAAACATGGTGGACAAATAACAAAGTTTACAAACATTACAAAAGAAACCAACAAACATTACAAAAATAACAAAGGTTACAAACATTACATAATAAACCGACAAACATTACAAAACATACTAACAGTACAAAACAACATTACTTAAAATATAAATCAGTAAAATTGCAATCAATGAATACAAAGTATACAAATAATAACATAAAATATAAACATTACAAATACAATAGACAAAAATAACAAACTAGAATGATAAACTATAAAAACCGAATTGATATAAACATTACAAACTGGACTCATAAACATTATAAAATAGGTCGACAAACATCACGAATCCAGCACTGCCGCCAAATAATCCTCCTCCGCCGTCTCCAATCGCCGGAAAAACCGCGTCGCCGATCGACGAGAAAGCCAATGTCATCATACTCTCTCTCTCTCTCTCTCTCTCTCTCTCTCTCTCTCTCGAAGGGGAAGAAAGGAAAATTAATTTCCTTCGCGTGGCCTTTTCCCATGAAGCTCCGGTGGCTCGTTCATTACCGGCGCTTGAATTAATTTCCTCCCCTAGCCCCTGGTCTGCGGAGGCGGTGAGGGATGATGGGGAGGGAAATTCCGCCTCGGGAGGATTCCGCCGCCGGGAGGGTAGAAACCCATAAGCTTCACCAACCCTTTCTTCTGAATACCAGTGTGTACCTTCTGTCCTAAGAGAAACTTCAAATTCTCGTGGTCAGTAACGATAGTGAATGATCGACCCTCCAAATAGTGGCACCAATGATCAACTGCCATGAGAACTACGAGATTCTCCTTTTCATAAGTGCTCAGACCCTAATTTCTGACACTTAAGGATTTGCTGAAATAGGCTAGAGGCCGACCTCCTTGGGATAATACAACACCAACTCCAGTTCCACAAGCGTCTGTCTCCAGGATGAAAGGAATTGTAATGTTGGGAAGAGCCAACACAGGGGCTTCACACATGGCTTGTTTCAGGGCAACAAATGCGACATCATCTACAGAACTCCACTGGAACCCATTTTTCCGTAGCAGATCAGTCAAAGGGTGGCTAATTGTTCCATAGTTGCGAACAAATTTCCTGTAATAGCCCGTGAGACCCAAAAACCCCCCTTAGTTGCTTGACAGATTGTGGTCGTGGCCATCTCTGCATAGCCGATATTTTGCTTGGATCAGTTGCTACACCCTCAAGACTAATAATGTGGCCCAGATATTCCACCTTGGGTTGGCCAAAGGCCCACTTTGATTCCTTGGAAAACAAATGATTGTCCCTCAACAGTTGCAAGGCAATCTCTAAGTGTTGTAAATGAGCCTCCTTTGTCTTACTATATACTAGAATATCATCAAAGAACACTAAAATAAACTTCCGCAAGTACTGACCAAACACATGATTCATGAGAGCCTGGAAGGTGGCAGGGGCATTGGTGAGACCGAAGGGCATAACCCTGAACTCATAATGGCCCTGATGAGTTCTGAAGGCAGTTTTGAACTGATCCGCAGGGTGCATACGGATTTGATGGCAACCAGCCCGTAAATCCAGCTTGGAAAAGATAACAGAACCATGTAATTTATCCAATAAATCTTCTATGTGTGGAATGGAAAACTTGTCATTGACAGTGGCAGCATTTAACTCCCTGTAATCAGCACAAAAGCGCCAAGTGCCATCCTTTTTTCCAATGAGTAGGACCGGAGAAGCATAGGGGCTATGACTAGGCTGTATGAACTCAGACTGCAACATTTCATTCACCAACTTTTAAGCTACATCCTTCTGGTGGTGAGGGAAGCGATAAGGGCGGATGTTTATGGGTTTAGCATAAGGAAGGAGAGGAATAGTGTGATCACAAGTACAGGAAGGTGGAAGTGAAGAAGGAGCGGCAAACACATAAGAGAAAGTGGCGAGCAGGGGTGTCAAGAAAGGTGGTGTGGGACTAGGGGTAGGGGTGGCTTCAATGGAAAACACAGCTCCTGTTAAGTGGGAGCAAGGTTTCTTAAGGAGATGCTGGAAATTACAACCTGTCATCATCTTACACTGTCCATCCTTAGAGAGACCTTGGAGAGTTAGAGTACCCCCCTTTTCATTCAAAAGCCAGCTGTCGCTTCTTGAGATCCACTTGGAAAGGGCTAATGGTTTCCAACCAATCCCAACCCAAACCAAATCATGAGAAGGAAACTCCAATGTTCTGACATCAAACCCGAACTCGTGGCCATGCAATTTCTAACTAAAGCCCCTACAAACCGCATTACTAAGCAGGGTATGACCACTAGCAACTTTCACTCACATAGGAGCAATGCTTTCAGTGGGGCAATTCAATTCTTCCGCCCTAATCGAGTTTAAGAAAGTATGCGAACTACTAGTGTCAATCAAAACAGTTACCTCCTTATGTCCTGGTGTGGCAGGAATCAGTAGGGAATTACCTGAAAATTCGGACCCCATAGCTTGCAGAGAAACCTCAAGCTCAGCGTCCTGAAATTCTTCATCACCTTCGTCCTCCTCACTAGCCAACGGAGTAACCTCCGCATGCGTCACCTAAAGTTGCTTCTTCCAGTGCAAATATGGTCGTGGAAGTATTTATCACCACATTTGTAGCACAGACCTTGCACGCGGGGAACGGAGGAGCGCTCTGTGGCCTGAAAAGAAGAAGATGGGGAAGCCTTTGTCGGAATCGGTGGAGCGGTCACCACCCAACGACTGGAAGAAGTGGTACGAGTCTTCCGCTGGCTGGCTTCAATGGTGGCCTCCTCAAGACGAGCCTGATAGAAAGCACACGCCAAGGTAGGAGGATTGAGCACATATACGCGAGGCTGAATTTCGTCGTCAAGGCCTCCCAAGAAACTGGGGATGAAATAATGCTCGTTAAGCTCCGGATTGAGGCGAAGCATACGCGAGCGTAACTCCTCATGATATCCCGAAAAAATTTCGGCGGGAGCTGCGCACCGCGAGGGAGGAAGGACAATTATAATTTTGTTTTAATTGCTAAATAAATTAGATAATCACTACATTGTGCTTCATTAAATTAGATTAATTATAGTCATTGGATTTTAATGAAGTGGAAGGGGTGAGATTTACTTAGTCATGTGACTAAGTCCAGCTTAGGATACTGTCAGTAACCCCTGGTTATTGACCAATGAGTAACCAAATCTCAGCCGTCAGATTTAAGTGAGCCTAGAAAATTTAGATTTAAGGGTGGAGAATTAAAAACATTTTATTTTTACTAGTTTTCTTAATCAGCCCTTATCTTCTTCGTTCTAACTCGGATTTCAATTTTTTTGCAAAGATGAAATGAGTTCGTTGTGCTCTACAAAATGAGATTTACTTTCAATATTTTTGAGAATTTTTTTTCATACCTCTCGTTACCAACTTCATACCATATGGTAACTCCTTCGTTTTTAAGTCGTTTTTTACAATGTTTGCTTAGAAGGAATGAGTTCATCATGATCTATTTGGATATATAAATTTCCGGGTGAAAAAAATACAGAACCAAAAATTACCATACTTTACCACCCTGGTATGGTGGTGGTAACTTGTGATAAACAATGATGAAAATCATAAATGGCAGTTAGTATACTCCTACTATCATGTACTTAACCTTCCCACAGTCTTGGTATGTTCATACCATCATGATATGCTTTCTTACCGTATGATATGCTCCTATTCAATACCATATGATATTGACTTGTAAAAAAGGACTCAATTTTTTTTTATTCTACAAATATATCAAAGTGGATATCATTTTAAAGAGCACAATTAATCTGTGCAAAAAAAATTTAAAACGAGAGAGAAATCGTCCATTAAAGATTTAAGGGGAAAAGATAAAAGGTTTTCCATGAGAGAGAGAGGGATGCTGATGTCACGCTGATGTTGAAGTGTTACTCATGGTTACACACTCTAAAGTTACTTACCTGATCCGATCCCACTAAGTCCCCCGTGCATTATAGCACTATTATAGCACCTTGGGCCTTGGTGCCGAGTTGGGCTTAGTAATTAAGGTATTATTATTAGTTAATTGTTAGATTATTTGGTTATTCGTATTAATTTATTGTGTTTTGTTGAAGAAGTTATTATTTACTCATTGGGTTAGGATTAAGTATACCTTGTTTGAGAGGGAAAGGGTCATGAGAGTAGTCCTATAAATATGTACGTTGTTATTTGATTTTTTTTTTTTTGGTGAGACTTGTTATTTGATTTTAAGACGTCAATGAATTAACCCGAGGATTATCCACCCCCTCCCCCTAATCACCTGATCCTAATCTTAACCCGTGGATTAAACAAGTTGCAGATCTATCCATCTGGCTGAAACCAACCACAATAAATAACACCAAAATAACAACGTAGGACTGTATAGAATCTGTATAAAACTGAACTCTCATGAAGTTAGAGGTGGTAAGCGAGATCCAAATCATGAATTGGTGAATTGGATTGATGGATTCATGATCATATCAGCTGGTGAATTAAATTGTGCTCCCGCCCGAGCTTTTGCAACAGCAGGTTGCATTTGCAGATTTGAGGGTGGAATAAACTTAGCTAACTGCAATTCTCTATTATCCCTGGTGTGCGTTTAATTATTTATAGATTCATGTTGACAAATTACATTAAATACCAACTTAAGACACAAATCTACTGAAATCCGATCCACAAATTCGGCCATGAATCTGATATACAAATCTTTGCCACCTCTACATGGAGTCAGCACTTCAAGCTTAACATCATACTTAGCATAGAACAGAGGGAACAATCATATTGAGGCAAATCTCGTATTGGGTACTGGTTACGAAGCCATCGAGAAAGCGATGAGGTCGGTGGAAAGCATTTTAGATCGAGACTTAGTAGTTGCAACTTGCAAGTAGCCATCCGACACGTGATGCGAATCACGTTTGGCATCGCACAGAAAAAGAAAAGGATGATCAATTATTTTCTAGTGGCATTCCAAGATCAAATATCAAAACAAGGAGAGCGATGCGAAAACCGGGTTAAAACTTAAAAGCACGATCGGACCACAATGACCAATCGATACAGCGACAGTTGTACAGTACCATTGATCAAATGACCACCTCCAAGTAAGCTTAGAGGCGACCGACTCTTTGCATCTCATCCATGGCGATGTGATAAATATAGAATGGAAAACTAGACAGGGATTACGAGACCACCATTTTTTATTCTGGGAACCAATCAGTGAGCAATGACGGCACTCCATAAAACATCCAGCAAGTCTGAAGACACATATAACACCACCACAACCAAAAACTAGTTTTCACTTGCTGACGATTTAAGACAGCCACACAGCACAAACTTAAAAAGCAAACAAATTCCAGACAGTACTGATATCCCCCAAACTTTCAATCCGTCCCAACTGTCCCACACATGTGAGATTCTTCACCCTTTTCCTTCTAAACAACTTGAAAGTCTACTAGGTAGATAACAAGATCTCGCTTATCTTGCAACTTTTAGAAACCATGGATCTTGATGTTCTCCTTCTTAACAATCCCAGCCTATTGAACCAAATAAAGAACACCATAAGCTAATGAATGCATTGAACTATTGAAGCAATTGACATGAGAATTATGAATTGCTAGTACCTGCACAAGGAATGTGGAGACGTTCTTCCTCTGATCGCCCTGAAGCTGAATGACCTGTGATATACAGGGAGAAAAGTCCCAACTTTTTCAGTCAGGCATGAACTGGGATATGATGCTGAAAATGAACTCGATCAAAAAGGTGGTAATGGGTTTATACAAACCTGGCCTAACTCAGGGTCCTGGACGACTGTACCATTACAGCAGAACTCCTTCTTCAAGTCCTTGAGTATCTTGTTGTAGCTGAACTCTTTCTTCAACCCTTGCACAGTAGTCAGGCTTTTCCTCCCATTTCGCTGCTGTATGCGCACATGAACGTACTCTTTTGTACCCGCACCAGAGTCCTCAGCATTTGCATCAGCAAAAGGGTCTGCACAACAATAACCCGGATAAGCAAAAACTCAACTTACTACACCCACCAAACCGAGGAGCGAGGCACTGGTACATATATTGACCGGAGATCGGGAACATACCAAATGCAGATGGAATCTGATTGTCAAACTCAGACATGAACCTTGGATTGAATGAGTAGAGCAGAACCAATACAATGCCCTTGTGCAGAATAAGCCTTCAAATGCTGGAATCAAACCACAAAACATGAAAAAAGCCCTATAGTCAGAAAACTGCAGCTATAGATCCAAATCCCCGAACATAATGAACTAACTCTACGATTCACAAAAATAGATAATCATCTCAATCCCATCAGATCAGCTTACTATCAGCAATCACTAACATTATCTCAATATAACCCAGTGACAGAAAGTTCCTCTCAATACCAACTATAGCACCCACAAACTCATTCATCTATCGGGTCCAATATCCACCCTCTACCTACACAGCGGATTGGCCAATCCATAAAACCCGCAAGCTACAGCAGATCTCGCGGACCACAAGAAACGACGTTAACATATAAACGAACAACTCAGACACGCCCTCAATTCCAATCGAAAAAAGAAATCATGGATGGCAAAAACCCTAAAATCCAGCACGCCCCAAAAGGATTGAAAGAGGATCTGACCAAGATCAACCCGTAAACTAAATCCAAGATAAAAGGGGGAAAAAAAGCTCAAGAAACCTAAATCAAGATGCAGCCTTTTCGATCAAACCAGAACAATTACAAGAAAGACAATTCACAACCCATAACCAGAAGCGACGGGAAGAGTTCGTATTCTTTCAGTTACCTACCTGAGTAACGGAAGGAAGCTTGACGAATCTGGGTTCGGGAAGAAAGGGAACCGGTTACAAGGCGGAGGACGAGATAGAGATAGAGAGAGATCGGGGAGATTTATTCTTCCTATATAGAGCAGAGGCGACTTTTTTTCTCTTCGAAAACCAAATGAACCGCCTCTCCTTATCTCTCTCTTCCTTCTCTCTCTACTTTCTTAGTGGCACAGAACAAATGAATTTTCCTCTCCCAACCCCTACGAATTTTTTGGTTTTACATAGAAAAAGAGACCTCTTGGGCTCAAGGTCTGCTATTTTTCCGTCGGTTTATCCGCTGGATGGACGGCTGTGATCGTATTGCTGCAATGCGGGACCCTCTATTTTGAAAAATTGCGAAAAGTTCGTTGATATGAACGAGACGAATGATTAACTTAAAATAAGCTAAATGACAAATATCTCCCTTCTGCGTACGGTTTACGCTTTGGATACGATATCGACAATTTCAGGCTTGGGCTACGGCTAACGGGTCGGCCCAATTAGACCATCTCCAAAGTACGGTTTACGCTTTGGATACGATGTCGACAATTTCAGGCTTGGGCTACGGCTAACGGGTCGGCCAAATTAGACCATCTCCAAAGTCCAAACGTAGAAACTAGAAAGTGGGTTTTCCCATTTTTGGTCTACAAGAGGATGTGGGAAAGACCAGAAAAGGGTAAGGTGGACATTTGGAGTGTGTTGGTAAGAGTAGGGGTGATAATCGGTTTACCGGTTAACGGTATAATCGGTTATCAATTGGTAACCGGCGATTATTAGTTACATCGTCAATCGACAATATCGGTAGGCGGTAGCTAAAAGGATGTACTTGGTATACCGGATTTTACTTGGTTAGTAACCGACGGTTAGCCGGTAAACCAAATGTCGGAAATCACCTAAAAATGCGGAGAAATTCTCCCCAACTCCGTCTTCCTTCCCCTTTATCTCTCACCCAGTCCATCACCACCATAGGCTTCTATCTCTACGAAACCATTTCTATCTCTGCCGCCTTCTCTTATTCCTCCATTCCCAACTCACCCTTCCCTCCCACCTGATATCGATCCCCCGCAACATCAATTTCATAGCTCCGTTAAAGAACAACCAATGCCATATTTCTCCATCTTCTCTTTCCCCCACCACAACATCTCGGTCCCCTAAACAAGAGCCTGCGGAAGAGGCTGTTTGCTATGGCATCGAGTCACAGCTCTGATTAGCAATGACTTTGCCTTTGTTGTCTGACATCGATGCCACTGTCATCAAGCTCGCGAGCTACATCGGCGGCGATTCTCATGCCTCAAACTGAAGCAGAGGGATTGGGGAAGGCTGGTGGTTGCCAGCGAGACAGTGCATGCTTGATTAACTACCTCCGAAAACCATCAGATATACCAAAAATCCATAAGATCTGCAAACCACAAACCCCAAAATCTTTGTCGGCAAACCGATTAGTACCAAGCTCCCAATGATGACTCCTTCGTTACTATCAGTTGATGCAAATGGCAGCCTTCTACAGGTCGCTCCACTCTCTGCCATTGAACAAATTCATCATAAGCAAAGCTGAACTTGACATAATGAGTTCTTTTTCCCCTATAAACAAGACCTTGGGGGATCATAGTAATTTCTTTTATGGGGTGGATAATTGGGTTAAAAGGCAGCATTTGCACATATTCAAGTTCCAACTGAGTTGTTCTGTAGTGGAGGAAAAGAAGGAACTATCAATAACCAGGTTGCTAACCTGTAGTCAGATATCCGGTAAACCGGTTGTTTCCCGATACCGCTAGTCGAAAGTAACTTGACAAGAATCGGTATACCGTTTAGCAGATACTGGTTAAACTGGTTAGCTGGTTACCGTTTAAACCGGTTACCGACCAATTATCAGCCCTAAGTGCGAGATAAAAGTGGGAAAGAGGACGAAAATCATATTTTTGGCGATGGTGGCCGGCATGCACTGGAAGGTTAGATTCTGTTAATAAATATTATAGGCTGAATTTATGCATGTATAATTAATTGATTGTGGGTATGATGATAGACTTAAGCCTATCAATTAATATTAGAACTAGTCATTGATCGATATTCTAATGTGTATATACATGAGCTGAGAGAAATTATTGGGTACTCTAGGAGTACCACGTGTGCATTATCCAACTCGACCCGATTGCAAGGTCTAAATATATTGAAGAAGGGATTCAAACCTCCAATGGTTAAAGTAGCTACTTTCCAACTATGCTAACACTAATTTATACAATCATCTTTACCTATCTTGCTAATTATAAATGATATACACAAAAAATACCTCGAGAATAGAGGTTAGATAACATCAATTTGGGTGTTATATCAAATACCCCACAATTAAGTGTTTTCTTGTTCCTAAGAAAATATACGATCAAACCATGCAACTCGAAACATCTAAATCCCCTCTTCCCCTCCCTAACCCACACACTTGACATGGGAAACAAATGAATAGGGGTGTCTCGACCATCCATACACACATTCAACCTACTCAGAATTGAAAGTATATCATCGAATGGAAGGGGTAGGTGCAAAGTGTAAATCAACACTCTTGATTGCATGTAAGAAGGACAATGCTCTATAATGTTTTTTTGTCCAATCTCAATTATATGTGTATTACTGCTCATTTCATTGGTAGAGATTGGAAGTTGCATAAGAGAATTATCAACTTTGAAAAAGTAACAAAACATTATGTAGATGATATTGAAAGACATTTGACTAGTTGTTTGGTGGAGTGGGGTATTAAGAAGGTATCTTCTATCACAATAGACAATGCTAATGTTAACAATGTTGTTGCTATTTATATGATGCATGAACAATGCTAGTGTAAACAATGTTATTGCTATTTATATGAGGCAATAATTGAAAGAGTGGGAATCAGATGTTTTGTATGGAAAGTATTTGCAGATGAGATGTGTGGCTCATATGATAAATTTGGTTGTGAAGAATAAACATAAAGAAACTAGTATATATGTGGAGAGAGTGAGAGAGTATGTGAGATGATTTACAACTACACCTTCTGGGAGCAGAAAATTCCAAGATTGCATTGTATCTGAAAAAATAGAGTCAAAGATGCATGTGTCGTTGGATGTACCTACAAGGTGGAACTCTACATATCTCATGTTGGAATCTTCTCAGCCATCTAATAAGGAATTTTAAGCATCGACGAGAAATCAGAGTAAATTCAACAAACATATGAATAAAAAGAAAAAATAATGAAACCTTGGTATCCTAACTTCAAAGGATTGGAAAATGTAGGACGATTGATTAATTATTTGAAGTTCTTCTATGATTTGAATATTTTTATTTTTGGTACTTACCGCTAGGGTAGAAAGAGACTGTTGGTACACTTTTCACACGGCAGTATTCATACATAAACATTTGTTTATATGTAATTACTCAAATTTTGTTAAAAATTATACGTAAGTTGACAATTCTCGGGGGGGGGGGGGGGGGTGGGGAGGCCTCACCTAACTCTGCCCTTGTGCAGATGAGATATGTGACTCATATTATAAATTTGGATTTGAATGATAATCTTAAAGAAATTAATATATATGTGAAAAGAATGAGAGAGTATGTCTGTGAGATGGGTTAGAGCTACACCTTCTAGGAGCAGGAAATTCCAAAACTGCATTGCATTTGAAAAAATAGAGTCGAAAATCGTTGGATTTACCTACACGATCAAACTTTACATTTCTCATGTTGGAATCTTCTCAGCCATCTGAGAGCGAATTTTAATCAACGACTAGAAATGAGAGTAAATTCAACAAACATATGAAAGAAATATAATAATAAAAGTATTGGTATCCTAACTTCAAAGGACTGGGGAAATGTAGGACGGTTGATTAATTATGTTAATTTCTTCTATGATTTGAATATTTGTGTTTCTGGTACTTTGTATGCGACATTACCCCTCTTGTTTGATGAGATATGTGATATGCATTCTATAATTTCTAGCTGGGGAGATAACATGGATTTATGAAGTGTATTTCATGGCTATGAAAATGAAGTCTGAACTAGCCAAATATTGGTTTGAGAAGATATGAAAATTGCAAGATGAATCAATTATGCTACATGGTAGTTGTATTAGATCCTATTCACAAGTTTGAATATCTTGAAGAAGTTTTGAAGAATGTTTATGGTGAAGATAGGAAAAAATTTAATAGCGGAAGTGAAAGATGAAATGTTTTTTTTTAAATGTTTAAGCACTATAAACATAAGTTTGGACTTCATGGTAGTTCTCTCATTGTAGTATCAGAACAGTAGTAATGTGGTAGTGGAAGTAGGGATTTGAAAAAAAAAAAAAGATTTGGGATAATTCAAGAAGAAGAAAGGAGAGGCTATTCGTAAAGGAACTAGAAAGATTCTATATCTGAGTTTGAATGATATCTTGAGGAGGAAGAGTATGATGAGGAGGTTATATAATCAGTGCTGGGTTTTGAAGATGATGAGTACAAGTTTGATATATTGGGATGGTGGTCAGAGGCCATAATCACAAGAAGGAGAACGAGGCAGGGCAGATCAGGAAACCTGAGAAAGTTCAGTCACAGGCTGCTACAGTAAAAGGTGGTAAGAAGCATTTCATGTCTACAACAATATCTGCAGCTTCAAAAGATTGTGCCGTATCCTCAGGGAAAAAGGTATTGGTTGAGCCCATTCAGACTTCCATTTCATTTTCTGGTGGAAAGCTACCTCGTATGGAAGGCTCTGTTACAAAGGGGCTGAATCAGAAGAAGGAAATTTCCTTCGATTCAAATGTGACGTACCTGGGCAAGGGCAAAGAGGAGGCCGTCCAGAGTGAAGATGATCTGGACTTAAAGGTGGGCATGGCTTCTTTATTGGAGACTGTGATCCAAGAGAAACATCTGGTTAACTTGGATCCTAGTTTCAAAAGTAGCACCAAACCTGGAGATCACGGTTCAACTGGTGGATGTTGGAAAAAATTTGGATGATGACGTTGTATTTCAAAACGGCAAGAACTTAATCTTTCTTTTTATTCTTCTATTTTAGTTTATGTTTGTTATATTAATAAAATTATATTCTTACAAGCTGATATTGTGTATGTTATCCAGTAGTTGCAACTTTTCAAGCTCGAAGAGCAAGTGCACATGCAAGATATAGTAGAAGATCACATTCAACCCGCATTCCTACTTCTAGTCCTAGAGGCTCATCAGTGGAAGAAAAGATTTTAAAAATAATTCTAATAATGAGTATGACGATACTTATGTGGATGTAGAGTTTGATGGGGTGGACTGATAATGATAGTGGTGTTTA